TGGCTGACTCGTCTCGCCAACTACTCGCGCTTCTTGCCGCCCCGCCACTCCGAGCGCACCATGCAGAGCTTCTTCCACCGCCTGGGCCACCAGATCGAGGACATGCTGGTGGAGTGCCGCTTCCAGGGAGAGCGCTGTGGCCCTCAGCACTTCGCCCCTGTGAGTCCCTGCCTGGCAGGGGAAGGACAGCGATGTTTCACTCCTCACCAGCAAAGGTGGAGGGGTGGCAGTGGTGGGGAGGCTTAGATGAGCCTTTCCAATGGCCATGCAAGACTGTTCCAGCATCTCCATGTGGTTGGAAAGGGGTTCCTGGACTGCATCCTTCTTGCAGAACACCCTAATACATCCCTGCCTGCTCCCTCACCCTCCCTTCTCCATTCCCAGGTCTACACACGCTACGGTAAGTGCTACACCTTCAATGGGGACCGGAGGAATCCACGGGTGACCCGCCAAGGTGGAATGGGCAACGGGCTGGAGATCATGCTGGACATCCAGCAGGAAGAGTACCTGCCCATCTGGAGAGAGACCAGTGAGTGGGGCCGTGGTGCGAGTAGGGCATGGGCAAGGGGTGCTGGGAGGAAGGGCTGCTGCACAAGCAAGGCACCCCAGGGTGCAGGGGCTGCGGGGCACCAGAATGGTGCTAGGGCCCAGGGTGCAGGTCCTGGGTGGGCATGGGGGTGAAGCTGAGGGCTGTCCCTGTGGGTAGGCGTGCAGCCCTCCTGTCATTCTCCTGCAGACGAAACATCATTTGAAGCTGGCATCCGAGTCCAAATCCACAGCCAGGATGAGCCACCCTACATCCATCAGTTGGGCTTCGGTGTCTCGCCCGGCTTCCAGACCTTTGTGTCCTGCCAGGAGCAGCGGGGAAGGCAGGGGGCCCCTTTTCCTCTCGCCCCGGCAGCTCACCTACCTGCCACAGCCGTGGGGGAACTGCCGGGCCAGTGTGCAGGGGGAGCAGACGCTGCCTGGCTATGACACCTACAGCATCGCTGCCTGCCGCCTGCAGTGCGAGAAGGAGGCCGTGGTGCGGAGCTGCCACTGCCGCATGGTCCACATGCCAGGTGGGGTCTGCGTGGTGGCGTACGGGCACCCCGCTGCCCTCATGGTCCTGCCTGGTATGCCCTAGCACCCTACAGCCTGCAATAAGGACCACCTTGCCTCCCCTTGACCCCTCTGTAGCTAGGGGTACCCCTCTGCATTCAAGCAGCACCCCTGCCCCATCTCTCTGCACCCAAGGGTGTCCCCTGCCCCATCCCTTTGCACCCAAGTGTCCTCCCCTGCCCCATCCACTCCACACCCAAGGGCCAGCCCTGTCCCACTGCCTTTAGGGGATTGAATCAATGGTGGGAGGCAGACTCCCATCACCTCTGACCAGCTCCTTCTCTGCAGGCAACGAGTCCATCTGCTCCCCCAACGTGTACATCGAGTGTGCTGACCACACACTGGGTAGGTGTGGTGGTGGGTGGGGGACTAGGGGCCAGCCTGATGCCCCCAGGGAGGGAGCTGAGGGGGTGCAGCCACCCCAATGGGTGCATGCCCCTAGACGCGGTGGTGGAGGACAGCCAGGAGCACTGCAGCTGCCCCACACCGTGCAACCTGACGCGCTACGGCAAGGAGATCTCCATGGTGCGCATCCCCAACAAGGGCTCGGCACGCTACCTCGCCCGCAAGTACAACAAGAACGAGACCTACATTCGGTGAGTTTTGTGCCGGCACTGGGGTGAGGACCTGGGGAACCCCCAACCCACTCCTGGTAGTGTATGGGGAGTGAGTCCTGGCACACATGGTCCCTGCAGCATCTTCTACCCAGGTGTGACTGCCATTAGAGCACCTCCCCAAGACATCTGTGTCCTCCCAGTCCTCCTGACAGCACCTCCCTGGCCTGGGACACATCCCTTCTGTGTCCCTGCAGCACCAGCTTGAGAAACCCATGAGGGTCCTGGGAACACCTGGGAGCTTGCGGGCTGGGTGGCTGGGAAAGTTCTGGGTACAGTGGGGGTGGGAAGGTTTGTGACCAGATCTCCTTGCCGAGCACTGTGGTGTCACCACAGGGAGAACTTCCTGGTGCTGGACATCTTCTTCGAGGCGCTCAACTACGAGGCCATTGAGCAGAAGAAAGCCTACGACCTTGCTGGACTTCTCGGTGACTCCCTCCACTCTCCCCTGGGACCCTCAGGCGTGGAGCTCCGGGTTGCGGGGGGGACCACACAGGGCAGGAGCCAGCTGGAGCCAGCTGCAGACTGACTGAGGGGTGGCATGCTGCTGGCTGTCCCCTGTCCCACATGTCCCCTGCTCCCTCCATCCTGCCCCATGACCACACTGTCCCTCTCCGTTCAGCAGCCCTGGCACTGCCCGCAGCCCCTCTGGCCCACCCCAGGTTCCCAGCAGGCTGCACAGCATCTCCCAGTAACCCTCTCCTTCTCCTCCCCAGGGGACATCGGTGGGCAGATGGGCCTGTTCATTGGTGCCAGCATCCTCACCATCCTGGAGATCCTGGACTATGTCTATGAGGTGCGCTGAGCCTTTGGGGCTGTGTCTCAGCGGTGGGACAAGGCGAGGTGCAGAGAGGGGGCCAGGCTCCCTGGGGAGGGGGTGGCATGTGGGGCTACTCCAGAGGGCTATTACAGCCCACAAATTGGAGAACA